CGAGGGAGGATGGGAAGGGATGGGAAGGGGAAACAAAGGAGGAGGCTACAATGCTTGATAAGAAATGTACTCATTATCTTGCCCTTGTAATTGTAACCCTTCTGTACAGTATTTTCACAATAAAAAAATATATAATAAAAAAATAAAAATAAAAAAGAAATGAAAGGGTTTGCACTAGAAACCTTACCTAAGGCAAAGGAAATGCAAAGGAAGCAATCAAAATCATTTTCACGTGCTTCATAAATCCATTATTCATCAATCCTGTCTCTAATGGGACACCAAACCACTGAATGACAATCCCAAGAGTGGGAATGTGTGAGGAAAGTCCAGTCTGGTGCCGCATAGACAGGGCATATGTGCTGAATACAAGAATTCATTGGTTATTCATTCTCATGAGGTCACTTTAGGGCTGGCTCTAGGATTTTTAAGTCTATTCTAATTTAAGGGATGTTTATTTCTTCCTGGTGAGAAAGATTCCTCAGTTATAACATAGAACCAGCCCATTTTTTTCCCCCTAAGACTATACAGTGTAGCTGGTTAGAACTTTGATTCTTAAAAGCTGTGAGATTTGGAGTTGAAATTTGTTTGTGGCATTTCCAAATTGTGAGAACTGAAGCAAGTGACTTAATTTCTTCAAACATCGGATTCCTCACCTAAAAAGTTAGAATATCATTTCAAATTGTGACAAAAATATGTGTGTAAACAACAACAAAAACTACAACAAGCTGCCATAGGCAAATAGCTGGTCACACTGCTGAAATGGTTAAAATTAGCCATATTTATGATTGCTTAGCATTTTTATTTTAAAACCCTGTATATTTTCTATATTAACAATTAATATGGTATTGATACTGGGCCCCAAAAGTTAGAACACACTACTTCCTTGAAGGTTTTTTAATATCAAAATTATACCAATTCCTTTTATTTAGACTGAAGGTCAAACTTGCCCTGAATTGAATCAAAGATGCAGAAGGCAAGTTTTTCTGGGGCGAACAGTCTAAGTATCCATGTCCCAGCAGCAGGAAGTTCCAAATGATCAACTTACATCATCAAGAATCAAGGGATCTGTGACACAAATAGCTAAATGACTTTGTACTATAGTCTATTATTATTCTAGCAACAAATTAGTATTGATTCTCATCCTTAAGCTAATTTAAAAATTGTGAATGTCTCATGAGCACACAATAGTTAATGAAACAGCCATAATAAGGAAGTTAGGTGTGTGCAAAAATATTTAAGGAAGAAATTGAGGGTAATCAGCAATTCTTGAGAAATATACACATGGAGAAAATCAAGAATTCACACAAATCGATGTGAAATTCTGGGAGTCCTTTGGCAGAAAGAAAGTACTTTCAACATAAATTTAAAATATCATCACCACCATCCAGAACAGCCTGTAGTTTTCAATGATAATCACTTGATCCCTACTGGGCATTTCTTAAGGGGTCTGAAAATGAGTACTGCAATAAGTCGGATATTTTCTTTTTAAACATGATCGTCATATTGTACACTTGATACTTATGCTGAGAGCTCAGATCTTCCTTTTCCCCAGTATAATTTTCATCTAAGCATTCCTTAGATACTTGGATCATTCTTAATGGAGAATGTGCATTCTACTCTCTCTGTGGACACATGGAAATCTGACTAATCGGACTGACTTGATTACAATACTCAATATATTCTCCCACTTCCTTTCATGATAATAAATGTTTGAGATACTTTTGTCACCTGTTATGTAAATTTCTTGGATGGTAACGTTTTTCTAAGGCAGCTGCTGATATGTGCAGTGGGGGAACTCCCTTTTACTTTCCCTACCAAATAAATTCCTACACTTTCCAAACTACTGGGTAAAAATAGGGTCCTAAAAAAGTTTGAAATGAACTGGTAGCACAAATTAAGAAAATAATTCAAATGGTATAGCAACAGTTCAACACTAGCTTTGCAATAAAGCCCCAGTACACCTGTCTATCAAGATGGCATAGTCTAAAAAAAAAGGAAGGAAGGAAGGAAGGAAGGAAGGAAGGAAGGAAGGAAGGAAAGAAGGAAGGAAAGAAGGAAGGAAAGAAAGAAAAGCAAGTAAGAAAGCAAGCAAGAAAGGAAAAGACAGTAGCACATATAAAAATTAGGATACACACATTTATTTTAAAGACATCATCTACGGTACTAAACTTTACATCTTAGAAACACTGTGATAGTCTCCCCTTTAGCCAAAACAAAGTGTCTCACCACTGATAACTTACTACTGTCTCTTTAAGTGCTAGGATGAATACCTAATTCCAATGAGTACTACCCTCATAGATTATACCTGTCAAAATTCTTTAAATGCTAATGAGTCACCTTGCTGAAAATAAACTCTGTATTTCCATTTGAAAGTATAAAACTAAGCACCGAGTGGGGAAAAGTTTCTCCTCAGTCCCAGGAAACATCAGAGTAGAGAAAAAGAAAACAAGTAGGCCAGTGACTTGTTCTAGACACAAATAGGAGCTTCACCTCTACTGAGTAGGAGCCACTCTTAAAAGTTCCTGCTCCAGCAAGCAAAAAGAAGGGAGGGAGGGGGAGAGGAAAAGAAGTGTATATGCCAACCATCTACCATCTCCTCTCAGCACACACAAGAACTCATGCTTAGAGATTTTTATCATGGGGGAGGAGGAGTTTAAAAAACAAAACAAAACAAAAAACCACACACACACACACACACACACACACACATAAAAACACACGTGCCTTTTTGACAGCTGGTGCCTGAAAGAGGGTAGCCTTTGGGAAAAGGTGGTATGTTCTCTTTTTCTCTCCCATACCCCCGTGAAACTTCCTCCCTACTGCTAAGCAATGCTTTACTCTGAGGGACACACAGCCCAGACACAGAAATCTGAAATTTCAAAAATGCGATAAAGCTGGAACCCGGCAGCCCTGGGAGACCAAGGCGAGGCGAGCAGCTGCGGGGTGACCGCTGATGAAGTCGCTTCTTAAGGAGGTGGGCAGATTGATTCCAGCTGCTGAGCACGGGGCAGGGCAGTGGCCGCCGGCGGAATGCGCAGCCGGGCTTAAGGCAAGACAGCAGCAGCTTCCCCACCAAGGGCACAGCCAAATATTAGCTCTGTTTCCAATCTGAATCTCCAGGGAGGGAGCGTGAGCTTGCCTCCGTTCGACCCAATGGGGATTTAACAAGGCAGGTTGGGACAAAAGTTAACTACTGTCAACTCAACAAATGCAAAGTGACTCAGGAAACAAGAAATGGAAGGCTGGCCCCTGAGATGGCTGGCTCTTTCTGCAGGGCCCTTGCTTCCTGAGGGAAATCCTTCTGGATTGGTTCTGTCCCCCACCCCAACCCCCACCACACACCTACTCCCAACTCTGCATTATCTACTGGTTCTTAAACAGGGCCTTTGCTTCCCCCGCCCCCAACACACACACACACACACACACACACACACACACACACACACACACACACACACACACCCTGTAATGAGCACACTAGAGAGTCCACAGGGACACATGGAGGATAGAGGCGTAGTGGAGCTTTGGAGAGTCTTGAACCTGGCTGGGAAGGAGATATGGGAATCCAGCAGATTTAGAAGAGCTGGTCTTTAGAAGATCTGGTCTTCAAAGTAAGAGAGCTTAAGGGGGCGGGGTGCAAGAGTTTAGGAGTCCCGAGAGAGCCCCAAAGCCAGACAGCAAGGGCTCTAAGAAGAGCAAAGGGGTAAAAAGGTAGGCGGGCATGAAGACACGCCTAATGGAATATTCAATATCCTCAGAAATGCATTTTCGTCCGTGCTCTCCCAGAGACTTAAAAGCCAGTAATGGGCTTTGGAGTCTGCATTTCCTCTCCCTAATGTCCAGAGGCGCTTTAATGCTTCAGCCAATCGATCAGCCTTCGCCGGAGAAGGCGTCGAATGGAGTGCAAAAGCTTCCTACTTTGGGCCAAAATCTTCCCAAGCCTCCTCTGCACACCCGGTAGGAACGACACCCGACTTTGAACTGGCAGGATTTGGCTCTTAAAATGCCCTGGAGGAGGAGAGGAAGGCGCCTGAAGGCGCCCAGAGAAACAGCCCGCCCTCACTCCCTACCCCGACTTTTCCGGGAAGGGATTCAGACAGAAGGGGAGATCGCAGGGTCCACCTTGGGTCTGGGCTGAGCAGTAAACCCCAAATCTGCTTCAGGTGCAAGGTCACCTAGGCTCGAGGCAAACTTGAGTTGCCTTCTGGAAGAGCCGAGCAGATGAGCACCCAGAGGTGGGGTTTCTGGACAATTTCTTGGTGACATCACAACTGCCTTCAAAGTGACCCTGTGAGCAAGCCTCCCCCTTCCCCCCCCCCTTTTTTTTGGGAGGTGGGGGTAGGAGGGAGCCCGTGACCCGCCCTGCACTGGTTCACAGCCCTTCTAGTACAGCTCGAGCCCTGGACAAGTTTAGTCCCTAAATTGAACTCGACCCTGTCCAGACTTCTGCTCCCTCTGGAGGAGTCTCCGGCGAGGCTGCCGGGCAGCCCGATTCCCCAGGGTCGCCTCTGGGACACTGCAAGGCCCGGGGTGGACACAGCATGGACATCTCACCCCCACCCCCACCCCACCCCCGCCTCCCACCCGGGCGCACAAAGGAAAGTCGGACAGACCGCCAGCCCCGCGCAGAATGGACCAAGTTCGAAAGCGCGAGAAAACTTTCCACGATCCTTCCACCCCACCCCCTCCCACCCCCCAACCCCGCCCCACGCCACAGGGGCGCGTCTCCCCGAGGAGCTCGCCTTTCCCAGCCCCGGCGGAGACCAGCACAGCACGTGATGGGCAGAAATAAAAATAAACACGTCCCACTCCGCGCGGCGCGGCGCGGGCGTGGGGCGCCCGGCACTCTCCAGCCCCGGGGGCCCCTGGATCCCCAAGACCTCCGCTTCCCCCCACCCCCCCCGCCCCGACCCCCGCCGTCCCCTCGATCGTGAACCTCGGCCCAGGACCAGCTCCGGTGGCCTCTGCGGTCCACTTACCGAGCCGCGCCCTGCGCCTACCTTTCTGATTTGGTGAACTTCCGGAATGCCTGTCGGAGGTCGTGGAAAGACCTGTAGGTCTGCGGCTCGGCGGAGATGCCCTGCGCCCGGGTGGTCCGGGGGCCGATGTGGGTGGAGGGCACCGGCAACACCGACTGGCATTTGTGGAGCTTCCTCTTCAGCTCCTGGATTTCCTCCTCTTTCTCCGACAGCCGCTTCTCCAGCTCTTTGATCCTCTCTTCCTTGAGCATGAGAATCTTGGCAAAGTCTTCCTCCAGCTCGCTGCTCATTTTTCTCCCCTCCCCGGAGCCCCTCGAAGAAACTTTTTTTCCGCCCCCCGGGCGGTGGCTTGGGGCGGCGCGGCGGCTGGGACGACCCGCGGGCGGGCGGGATGGCGAGCGCGGAGCGGGACCGGGAGTGAGTGGGGCGCTAAGTGGAGGAGCGCCCCGGAGAGCTGTCCCTACTGCGGGTGCCAGGAGCCGCTAGCTTCGATCCACTTCTGCTGAACGGACTAAAAAGCACCGAGGGGAGGAGGATGAGACGGATAAAAGCGATGGAGACCAGAAGCAGAGTGCTAATCCCTAGCCTCTCCAGGGAATAGGTGATTATCTTTCATTGAGAAACCAATTAGAGCTGCCCGCCCTCCCCTGAGACCCCCCTCCCCGTCCCCCTTTCCCAATCGCTCCGTGAGAACACACGCTCACGCGTGCGCGCGCCACCCCACCGAGAGCCCAGTTTGTAGCAGAGGGTTGGATCAGAGTCTGGGCTCACTCCCATCACACGAGGATCACCCTTCCACGCTGTTCTGTGCCCCAAAGAAGGGGGTGGGATGGGTGTGTGAGTGTTGGGAGGGGGGAGAGCTCCTTGCCACTGGATCCTTGAAATAGCAACAATTACCATGTGATCTAGGGGATGACGCAGTGCTTGTAACTGGATCCTAAAGAGTGTGTGCTTGTGTGTGTGTGTGTGTGTGAGAGAGAGAGAGAGAGAGAGAGAGAGAGTTCATAAATATTAAACTGTCTTTACACAACAACCTGCATAAACTCATCTTTGTGAGTTTTTGTTTTTGTTTTTTGCTTTTGTTTCTGCTCTGGAAGTCTGGGTGTATTTGGAAAAAGTGTGTGTGTGTGTGTGTGTGTGTGTGTGTGTGTGTGTGTGTGTGTCTGACTATGAAGTCTTGAGGTTGGGACTGCTAAGTAATCAGAATGGCAGGTTACTGGCAGCTCCAAGTTTTTGTTGTCGTTTTCCAGTATAATACCTGACTGGCGATTGTGAACTAAAATTGTTGGAGGAACTGGGTGAACATGTGGTAAGGAGCCAAGTGTTTTTCGGAAAAGAGGGAGACCTAGAGTTGCTTGTAAAGGCTTTTGAGTCTAGGCTTTGTTTTGTGTACTACCGTTCAATCGTGTGTATTGATCATCTTTCAGGGCTCTGAAGCAGCTACTAGCCACTGCTAAAACTGCTGGGTCACCCTCTCAGTTCCACTTTGGGGGAGAAATTACGTCAGGGGTCAGCTTAGTTCTCCAAGCCTCCCATATCCATCACCTAAAGGGATTGTTCTGTGCCTCTGAGCTTGAGTGTCTGAAATTCCTACACTTCTATCATATGCACTTGTGCCACAGACATCATTTTCCCCCAACAGCGATCACTATTTGTTGTATAAGGGGGACATTTCTTCAGGTAGTTCAACAAATGACTATGATTTTTTTTAAGAGCTGTGATTAAGACATAAAAAGATTTTTTCTGAAATAATAACTTTCCTTTTTAAAAAACAAACCGATGTATAATTACTGGCTACTTAGGGGGGAAAATGGCTCTACTTGGGAACAAGTAAAAATTAAATTAAAAGAAGCCATTTGCTTTGGCTTATAGATAAAGTCTAAAATATATTTTCTTTTGGAGGTTACTCTATTGTTTACTATGAGTTCTGCTTGTTTGATTGTTTTAGATGAAATTTATTATAAAATCTATCTGAATTCTTTGATGGCATGTATATCCACATATGGATACATCAACTCAGATGAGAAGGAGGATTTTCTGGATCATTGATGATTTCTATTCTGTTGCTTCTGTGTGTGTGAACAGCTTAATCTACTACATTAAAACAGTAAGAGTAATTGATGCCCATTGTAACAATGAGAAGTACAGGACACTCTGTTGAAAACAAACTTTCAACTTTGGGGGGGGAGGAAATTATTGGGAAGGTGGAAAGGGAAGGAATGGTAGGGGAAAAATAATAATGATCAATAGGAAATGGACTCATTACCTTACTCATGTAATTGTAACCCCTCTGTACAGTATATTTACAATAAAAATATATTATAAAAATAATACCTTAGGGAAAAGTTTTCTCACCATTTAAGAATCTGACAAATAGCTTCAAATTTACCTATAAAAAACTGTTACAGTCTTTAAATGACTCTTACATGATTTTTTAAAACCGGTTTTTAAACTTGGTTCTCCTGCACATTAAAAAGAATGCAGAATATTTACCAAATTCTCTCATTCATTTGTTCTCTCTCACACACTTGAAAACTAAATCTATCCATATCTTCTAAAATAAAACTTATTTTTAAAGAAGTCTGCTTTGGTTTAAATACCATTGATATTTGGTGACATTAAAATGGGTCTATTGGTGGCCTAAAAATATTTAATTTAGAACACAAGAACAGCATGAAAAAGACACCTGGTAGAATTAAAAAAAAACTTGAAGTATTAAAACCAGAGTAGAATAGAGCTGTATCAAAATTTGAATATAGTTTAATCCAACCACATCACAGAGGAAGAAATGAGATCCTTTAAAAATTTTTATTGTAAAGGTGATGTACAGAGGGGTGACAGTTACATTGTAAGGTAATGAGTGCATTTCTTTTTAAAGTGTTTCCCACTCCCTCCTTTTCTCCTCACACCCTTGTAGTGTCTAGTGAGTATCACTGTTGCACTGATCCACCCTTTGTCCCACAGAAATGAGATCCCAATGATGAAATCCAGGTTCTCACAAGGACAGAAATTTGGGTCCAGAGCTCCCCATGGCAGGATGGTGATTTCCAGCTTGAAAACTGAAAATCTACAAGCACTAGGATTCTAATGGCCCAGTATTCAAATTTGTGACTTGTCCCTTGATGCTGACTTCTAAATTTGCAGCAGGAATAGTGACAGAGCAGAAATATTAACAAAGCTTCAGGCTTTGGCTTTTGTTTTGTTTTCTTAAAGGAGAAGGTCGCCATCTAGTGCCCTTGGAAAATTTTGCTAAAATCCAATGAAATTAAAGTTACTTTCAGAATTTTTATTGGGAAAAATTAAGTGAAGTAAGCCAGGCCCAAAGAAACATAGGTACATGGTTTCCCTTATTTGCAATAACTATTATATGTCTGAGACAAGCAGAAAAGGTCAGATAAGATGAGTTCGGTGAAATGAACCCCATGATAAGGACACAAGTGGTTTTTTCTTTCTAGCTTTTGTTTCTAACATATTTATAAGGTGACTGTTTTGTTGCTTTGTATGTCCCTCCCCCACAGTATAACCCCTGTTTTCACTGTATTTGATATTGGTATAGTTTGGGGAAGGGAAGGGGAAAAAAAACAATTTTTTAAAATAAGGATACAGGTGGACCCATTGTAACAATGAGATGTACAAAATGCTATGTTGAAAAACGAACTTTAGAACTTTGGGGGAGGTGAGGAGGGAGTGTAGTTGTGGAGATGGGAGGGCAGGGATGGTAAGGGAAAAACAAAGGAGGAGGCAACAATGCTTAATAAAAAATGTACTTATTACCTTGCTCATGTAATTGTAACCCCTCTGTATGGTATTTTCACACTAAAAAACTTATTTAAAAAAAGAATTCTTATTGCAGAAAAACAGAAAATATGAAGAATTTCATATCAGAGAAAAAAATTGATCATTTAGACACTGGACAATGATGGTAGTAGTGCTGTTGAATATTGATTGTTAAGATATTGAGCACAGAGCTAAGTATGTCACTGACTGATTTTAATCTCCATGGTAAGTCTCTAAAGTAAAAACAAGTATTCAATTCTCTCTTCTAGAGGGATAACCTTATGCTTACTCAGATTAGGTAATTTTCCTTGTTAATGTTGCCCAGATTTGTCTCAATCTGCATGTAGCACTGCTTCTACCTAAAATGCAGTAAATTTTGTACTTGTCTATGCCAGTGGACACACAGAACTAAAACGTCTGTTTTCATTGGACACACTGTGTATACACCCATATAACCCCAGAGGAGTTCCCAGGATTCTGCCCTCTGATAGGCAATCTCTATGCCAAAGATTTTTTTCCCCTATGATACTTTAAGAGGTGTACATTGCATATATGTCAAATGTTTTATAACAAAAGAATATGTGCATTCTAATGTTATGATTCTGTTCTCTTTTTTCTGTCTCTCTTTCTCTCCTCCCCTCCCCTCTCCTTCCTTCCACTCTCCTTTCATCCCCTCTCCTCCCTTCTCCTCTGCTCTACCTCCCTCCTTCTCTTCCCTCCCCTCCCTTCTCCCCTCTCCTCTTTTCTCCTCACTTCTGAGGAACACTTTCTAAGGAACTAAAAACTGAAAGATGTAAGTAGTCCTTAAGGGGCTCCTAATGTCTAATCAAGGCCAATATCACTCTCAAGCAATGGGAGGACAATAATCTTACTTGAAAATTTAAAATAATAATACATAAGGGTGATCTGGTTTTTATTATCTCTGTTTTCTAAAATATGTAAATATAACACTGATAATATATTCCTCTCTCCACCGGAAATGTGTCATTGGTCTAAGTTCACATGAATGATTGCTCCATTTACCATGGGGCATGTGGAAATCTCCATACCTCCATCCCTTGAGCTAACACTGGACACTGACACATTGGCTTGGCTTATGTTTCAAAGATCCAGACTAAAGATAAGCCAGACCAAAGTCTTATGAAAGACTGAAACACATATGCTGTCACCTCTCAAGCTGAGTCCACATAGGCTTTTGAGGATTCATTTTCCTCAAAATTATGAGTTGCCTAGGGTTCATTTCACCTTCAACTTCTCCAATGAGGCTATGGGGTTCCATTTTTCCTGTGGAGCATTTTGAAATTGTTTGTTCACTCAGCTTGGTTTAAAATGTCAAAAGAAGAATGAGCTAAGGTAGAGTTTAGTTGGCCTCATAAAGATTTATACTTTCAAAATATTGATGGAAGCATGAACTATTTCTGTTAATTCTGTATGTTATCAGATGTGACTTTAATATTTCTCATTGAGACCAACCACACTGTGTTGATTATGGGGTGCATTACAGCTAAAGAAAGATAAAGGCTTACCAGATCCAGAAACACACCAACATTATCACTACCCACCATACAACATATGAAAATAGCCAAGGAAATATTCTCTTCACTTTAAAAACTTCAAAATTGGTTATATTCTTTTTGTTGAATTCACATACAGCATGATAGCTATTATTATTATTATTATTATCATTATTACTATTAAAAGACCTATTCACCATAGCCAAGTTATGCAAACAGAGATGCCCTCAATGGAGGAATGGATGAAAAAACATTATATATATATATATATATATATATATATGCACACACATACATATAATGTATATATGTATATACCACATGTGCAATGGGATTTTACACATCCATTAGAATGATATTACATCACTTGCAAAGAAATGGATGGACCT